TTATTATGTACATTTTGTTTTTCTGTTGGTATGAAAGAATAAAAAAAGTCATCATTTGCGACATGACTTGATTACTCTCAAAATAGTTTATTAGTAGTATTAGTATTCTAAATTCATTTTATAAATATGTTGATTATATTGTACAAGAGATAAAACTCTATGATGTGCCATGAATTGATCAATAGTAAATTATGTATTTTAAAAAATTATAATGAAAACTTACCATGTTTATGAATTCTATACTGGAAGCAATTTCATTTAAAGAATGCTTTTATGAACTTTTGCATATACTAACGATGTTTTCTTAACATATATCATGTAAACAATAATAAAGATGAAAAATTTAATACATGCCTTTTGATATCGTTAGATGGAGAGATTTTGTACTATCAGTTATAGAGAGTAATAATGTCACCAAGGTGTAACTATTCAGAATTTTAGATGTAAACAAATGAAATTCATTTACAATATTTTATTTGTACCTTTATTTATTGTGAATGAAGGTGTAGTTTTAGAACGAAAGTAATATCTTTCAATACAGCACTGAAAATTTTATAATTTCATCATTCTACACATAAAATAAATGAAATTAAATAATATAATATTAAAACTATCATTATATCGTTCTTTTTATCATCTTCGGCGAAAAAAATATATAGGACTAAGAATAACAATAATCATCCTGATATCATTCTCGAGCACGATCCATCCACCTTCATAACATTATTACTTTTCTTAGTGAACAATGCTTTTTCAGGAATTCACTATAATTCTAGAATTATCATTAAATTAAACTGAAATCAATCAATTTGCAGAAATTCTAAAAATTTTAACGTGTGGAGTTTTTAACTAGTACTATAGTCGTGTTATTCAGTTTGCTAAATTATATTATTTGTTATTCTTATGTTGCTCAAAGTCATAATGTATTCTAGTTGGAAAAAAAAATAAAAAGTATTAAACACGTGCTCTATAAATTGAGAAATATCATTAAACTGCTTTCAGTAAATACAAGAAATTATGAAGATATATATATATAAATATTCAGATGTAGCAGGAAAATTCTAAAATCATCTTTTCGTCTTCTGCATATATTTCAATCAAAACTAAAGATTAAATATCACATCAGTTTTCATACTTTTATCTCCATGTATCAGTTCAATCATATTCGGATTGTCAATAATTTATCATTCATCATTACAATACTCAGGTCATATCAAGTTCATAGACAAAATATATTCTACTCATAGTAGATCGACTTAAATAACGTTTTCTTTTTTTTTATATTTAGAAACTGATGCCAGAACTCATTGGTAGTATATCTTGAGGGTGGGTGTGGGTGTAGAAGAGAGTGATACTGTATATCTCTTACGCATCCTCACCCTCGCTTTTATCAGTATCATAACCATATATTCACCAAGATTGCAGAATATTTTCTACCAAAATGAATGTTTCTAGAATAAACTACCATTAACAGTACTTTCTGTTAAACTAAGGTGTCTGAGTGAATATATGTAAATATGATGCGACATCCATACGCATACCCACATCTGCAAGAAAATATAAGAAGTCTCTGAGATACTAAATATATATAATGAAAAAAAACGATTATAATTATAGTATATATTCATATATAAAAAATAAGATAATGTAACAAGGTTTTGAAAAGTATGCAGATGTCGTTGGATATTCTCTCAATTCAATGATCCGTTATAACACTGTGCATCCACATCCGCCACCACCGCTCTTGTATGGATATTGATTATCATAAACTTCATTTTCGTGGTCACCATACAGACAGAATGTATATATCTTGCCTATGCACAAAAGTGAATAAAATTATCACAAGAATCTTTCACAAAATGAATATTACCTGATTCCTGACCGAATGTATAATCTATTTGTTTTATATGAAGCCATTCAATCATACAATATAGTCGAATAATTCTTCCCGATTTATCATGGTGTTGCGTTTGAAAACTTTTACAAATGTTAGCCTGTAATTCGTGAGACAATCCCCAACAAGTATCAAATATATTATCGATCGTTTGTGTTGTCTTCCAATTATCATCAAATTGAAAACAGATAGATTTTTCAGATGAATTTTTTAATACTGAAATAGGAAGAATATTACTATTACCACCGTTTAGAGTGATTATTGATTCATGATTTTCCCATCTAATGTGTAGTTTTGTCCAAACGAGAACAAAACGAAACCCAGCACAATCAGGACATGGAATATAGCCACGAGTAAGACATGTCGAACAAATAACTCTTATCCTTCCCATACATTTATCGCATAGGTAAGAACCTTCACCCCTGCATCTGCGGCAGAGTGCAAATTGACAACACTCAATTCTACCTTGTTGGCATTTTTCACAGGCATAATCACCAAAACCGAAACATTCTCGACACTTGATTTGTCCGAGACTTTGACATTTCGAACATGGCTCTCGATGTTGTGTCTCTTTCAAATCATAAACCATTTCTTTGAATTTGCCACCGTCCAGTAGAGTTGTGGTTGGTTGATCGAACTGATAATCATCCCAAATGTTGGCTAGTGCGCGATGTGCTATAACTTCATCACCGAAGTACGGTGCTTTTGCTTCGCTTACCCAACGACTTTCTCGCAATGTCGATAAATGAGCTATATATCCTGATAAATTTCGCTCTCTGACAACTCGAGCATGGGCTAATGGACGAAGATCAAAACGTGATCTATTTGAATTATTATTCAAGTATATTCGAAGTTTGGTAAGGGCATTGTTGCCGTCGCCTGCCAACAATAAATCGGTATCTGATGTAGATTCGTATTCAACCATATTATTCACGTTGCTAGTAAAAATCTAGAAGAAAATATGTCTCATATATTTGATTTTTATAGACAAAATATGAAAAGACATTCTATTTACAGACAATGGGATCAATTTTGAGTGCTGATATCTGAAAAAAAGAAAGTTCTAGAAAAGATGGAGGTGTAAAAATTGTTGATTTGACACATCTTCTATGTTGAGTTATTCTCTGTACAATCTTGTACGGAAATAGATGCTGCTTCTTGCGGGGATAAACTCAAGTAAAATTGTTAGGATTGAAAATTATTGTAATGAAACATAGTTGTAAAAAGAAATGAGTTTTCATTATACTCATACGTATGCGACATTACTCAAAACATACAGATATTCTACCACGTTTCAGACTTAATCTATACTGATTAGAAAGAGTATTTTATTCTGCATCATAGAATTATTTGAGATCACCTTACAATTGGACACTAACTATAGCCACTGAATAAAGTTTTTTCTGAAATGAAAGGGCTACGCATTGATGTATAATTTATGTGATTCTGAACTGGATGGACAGCGCCAATGCCTGTGTATTATGATTGGGATCCAAAAAAAGCATGTTTTGACTGTATTTCAACTGAGTAATTTTACGACAGTTAGAACTAGGGATGTTATATCTGCGTTGTTTACAAGAACAGAAGCGGATAATACTTTCACATAAAATGTTGAACAAATGTGTATAAACAGCTCAGTCTGCTTGAAAAATGTCAGAAAACACGATGTTTAATTACGAGTTAGTTAGGTCAATCGACACAATAATCCATAATTTTAGGTACAATGTGCGAGACTACGTATTCATTGTATGTTATTAGATATATGTAGTAAGCTCATTATGAAACTGTCATATTTTGACATCAAATATGAGAACAATATATAACAATTCTTTAACTATCAAAGTTGTCAATATAAAAACACTGCGCTTTTTTGTCTTCAACTTATTCTATTCTTTACTAAAAGTGTCAGTGAGTTCTGCATGCATTTTTACTTAGCTATACGAAAACTTACTTGTCATTGACGTAACATACTATTTTTCTGAAGCGAAAAAATGCAACAAAGAACACAAACGTTTAGTCGTATTTATTTTCGGTTATTCCTGTTTATTTGCGTTCTTACACATATTCTTATTTCAAATCATACTTTCTATTCAATATTATTCTTTTTGAGTTCATTGAAGTAAACTTGAATACCAAATTTACATATTGTTTAAATATAAGACGTGAATCAGTTCCGTTTTTTATTTGCGTATATTCATAATGGCATAAAAGGAGCGACGCAAATAAACCTGATAAACTCGATAATCTTATGTTTTATGACACTAGGATAGATGTGCGTGGGTGCATCCAGGTGTAAGTCTAAATGACGAAGAGACCCACCTCCTCACCCACACCCACATCCCATGATATTAAAGTCTTTGCTAAGTGCATAAGCACATTTTACAAATCATATTCACTCAAGGCAATGAGAAACGAAGATAGTTTCTGATCAATTTGTTAGAAGCCTCTTTTTTCTTATAAATGATTTCGTTTCAAAGCATTGTGATCAAAGAATAATTTTGAAGTTAAGATAAACAGTCTTTCCATATAACAGGCAATGTTGAAGAATAAACAGACACAACATGTTAAGCTGCACATGAATTACAAACTGATTTTCTACAATTGTATTTGAAAACTCAAGAATTGCTGCATTTTGCTGTTGGAGTAAATAAAAGAGTATAGCATATGATCGATAAATAACATTTCACTTGCTCTTCGTATAGCTATTCTTATTTTGTTAGCTTTTGAATACTCCTCATGGTTACAATGAACATTACTATAAAACTGCACGACTTTTTGGGCGGGTGGGGGTATACGTATGAGTATGTTAACCATAATACACCAACCTTACACCCACCCACATCCAGATTCACACCCACACCCACACCCTTTCAAATATCTGTCTTATAATACAATACTCACAAATTGATCACTTCAATTTCTTTCCATAACCTTCAATTATCAAATTGAACTCACACATAGCTATTTTACCTCAATTTTCACACGATATATTTTTTTCATTTTTTAAATAATGAGAACTACTATACTTTTTGAAAATCTGTTTCTTACAAATGTTCACTTGTCTAAATATGAAAATCCTGCATCCATAAACTATTTTCTTGATTTTTGCAATAACAAACAACAAATATAAAATATTCAATATACCAAAAACCCCCACCCTCAGTCCTCAGTTCTTATCCACTACGGCGTATATACACTTGCAGAGACCGAGTCACGAGTATGAAGACGATAACGATCACAAGCAGTACCAAAAGGATTGCAAATGCTGCCATCACGATGGCGATAACGGTTCATATTACTGTCATAATGCCCATCAGAACATTTACCACAACGTACACAAGCTCGACCACCACAAAGAAGTTGCTCTTGAGGAAGTGATTTACTTGTTTGTGCATTTTCTAAATAAAAGGATGTATTATTTATTAAAATTTGACAAACACAACGAGACTGCTCACTGGTCGATTCTGAAACGGTATATTTTATTTATACATTCGCTTACAACTGAGTAACTGTGTTAGTGTGAAGATAAGATTATACAGAACTGTTGTGATTCATTCGTCGTACAGTCAATAGTTGGTGATATTCAATAACTCAAGGAAAAAGTCTAGCAATTAAATGTTTACTTGTCTAACATTAACTCGAGCCTTACTCTAAACAATCTCAACCATCTACAACTTTGGTCTATTTCTCTTCGAAGAGCTAATTAACCGAATCGACCACTAAGATCAAAGAAATAATGTTTTATAGTTGATATAAAAACACAATAATTTATAAAATACTCAAATAGCGAAATAGAAAATAAACAACACTGAATTGAACAGTATAACTGGAAAGACGAAAAATATATCAATAGATACTATTAGTTTATGACGATATTTAGTATATATACTGCGCAAGTTATTCTTGTTCTGTTCTGTGCAATATATAAAACAAATTTTGAAGAAAAATTAGATAATCAACTGAAGTCTTTTGTCAATTTTACTATTACTGCACGAACTATGATTAATATTCCGAACGTCTCAAGTTCATATTTTTTGAAAAATATCACACTGAAAATTTATTCAAAATGGACGTCAGAAACATACCAGATTTTTCTTGAACATAGATAATACAATCCCATTTTATTTTTTTGCTTTCCTCACTATTAAGTTCAATTCTAGGTGCTTGAGAAAGTTGAGTCAAGTCTACATTAAATTGATCAATCTTTTGTTTAAGTCTTGTTAAATCATGTTCAACATAATTCTCAGTTTCTTTCAAGCCAGCTAACTCATCTGACAAGCCTATGAATTCAGTTGTAATGATCGTAGACTTTGAATTCATCAGTTGATTAGCCCGCTGACGTGCCTGTTCAGCTGTTTGTTGCACTTTTTCAATTGTAATCTTCTCCCATGCATTGATTTCTTTAAGAAGTGGATTGCGTATGTTGGTTGCTTTGTTAACTTTCTCTTGCAGTTTATTACACTCTTCAACGAGTTCTTCCATCTCAGTATATAATATCTCACGATGACCTCTGAAATCCTTTGTGCAGAAGTAACTATCACAACCTGCGCAATGAATTATTCCTGCTGGCTTTTGACAAGTGGAACATTGATTTAAATTTGCCATTTCTATGAGCATAATACAATAGAATATCATTTATGAATATTGATCAAAGAAAAGAATCTTCTTACCTTATGTATTATAATAGTTAAAAAGAATGTGGCCGATACCGCCGCTTAATCTAGGTCCAACTACTATTTATTTTTAGTAATTCAATAATACTTTTCTCTAAGAATAATTGTTACAGTAGATATTCTTCAATCTTCACTAGTTCTGCAATATTTTATAATTTTGTTTTTATACTTTTGTGTGAGAAAAGAAACAAAAAATGAATTTATATCTATTTTACTATTAACCAAACAAAAGAAAAAAACCAACATAAATTCATTTTATCTTATACAATCTTTATCATAGAACAGAGATATGTACGTCATTCTTTTGTTGATACAATAATGCAAACGAAAGATTTTTTAAATTAATGTTGAAATAACAGGTAGAAATGAAAAACATTGTAACACAATGTTTCAACTTCAATTCATTCAACGAGAATCACTCTCAGAGAATTTCCAACTACCTTCATAATCATTACTATGTCGTCAACACAAAAAAGCAAAGTTGTGTAACTCAAAAGTTAACACAAGCGATCGAATATATTACATTGTTTCGAGATCTATTGTTCTTAGCAAGCGGAAAACAGAAAAGTAGCTATCCACTTTTATCAATAGTTTTAGAAATTGAATTTTTTCCATAGATTAGCCAAATATTACCTCTTATGTGTTTTGTCTACTGATATTAACTGAAATGAAATTACTTAAAAACTATAGTATTTATATTTTAGCAACATAAATTTATTTTCATTCGGAAGAACAGTGTTTGACAATAACTTTTATATCAGACTTATTGTTTTAGAACAAATCTAAGGAGGATAAGCTAAACATCAAATGCCTCTAAAAACGTTCGTGCAACTTCACCATCAAACAATATTGTTTTGTATATAACATTGCTTATTTTATAAATTAGAAGAGAAATGAGAAAATACTTTGTATGTTCTTTTCAGTGATATAATGCAAGTTAGATTACACTCTTTAATAGAAGAAACTACCCTTTGCTCGTTGTTACTGCATCACTGTTTCCCAATGATAAAAGAAATTCTTTTGGAGATATTGATATTCTGCGAAATTGATAATCTCAATTTTCAAACTGGTTTTTGTTCAAAGAATGAACAACTGATCTAAAAAGTTTTACGAAAGCCGTTACTGACATAGTTTTTCATGCAGTAGATTTTTTTGTAATTTTTTTGTTACAATTTAGCTTCATATAGCTTGAAATATTACAAAATGCAAACCTGTTAGGTAGCAAAAAAAGTTTTTTTTACAGATGTTTACTTTTCCTTATCCTGACATTCGTTTTTAACACATAAGTCTGGCATAAAAATTGTGATTCAAACTCTGCTCTTTTGAACCAAAAAAAAGGATATCATTGGATTAGCGACTAGTATTATGGTTTGAGCAAGTCTGACATTTGCCCAAAATCTTTTGCATTGCTTAATAATCTATTCACTAATCTTATGTTGACTCAAATCATTTGTCATTTACTTTTATTCAATATGTTTTAATCAACGTCATAAGATTTTCTTTTTATTATTATTCATCTACCTGAAATTGAAATGACGATCAAAATGTCTTTTTCAATTAATCAAAAAGAAAATATGAATATATGTCAATACTATTCAAAACGTCATCTGAATACAAGTGAAATTGCAAATAAAAATAATAAGAGAAAAAGTATATATATGCATAAAGATGTAGGCGAAATTATGTTATTATGCATTAAAGTAATAATATAATTGTAGAAGTATTTTCGTCATATAATACTATATAAGTACGGCGGATCGAGAAAGAGGAAATAAGAAACTAACGATGGAAAAGAAATTTGAAGAACCTGTTTATAAACCGAATATTTCTCCACTATCAATTGATATTCTTCGACAAATCTCATTAATTCTTAAAGGACAAGATAATGAATGTTTATATTCCTTTGTACACAAGTCATATGAATCATTATTAGTAGTTGAAGGATGGGTGTGGAAAGTACTCAGTAGTGGTTATTTTGATGAATGGATCAACGAAGAACATTATCAAGAGTTCTTTTATGCTGTTGCATCATTCAACAAGAACCTAATTTTCAACAATGATGATATTGAACTAAATGTTAAGGCTGCACTTCTTTTATCAGTTAGCACTGATCAAGTGAGTTCTATTTTCAAACAAATCGATCAAACTGACAATGATAATGAAATGTTTATCGCTGTTGCTTCTCTTTGGTTTGATAATCATTCATGTTTCATACATTATAATCCTCCTGCCCATGCATTCCCTATCACGGATCATATCAATCAATATATTCTACATAACTATATACTATGCAAACAATACAAAACTTATTTAAATGAACTGTCACAATCTATGATATCACAATCTGTATTCACTGCTAAAATGTTATTCTACATTAGAACATGTTCATTTTCTATATTTTCTTATATAAATCCGAATACTCATAAGATTCTATGTACTGCTGATGATTTGGTTCATTGGATTCGAGATGACTATTTGCAGATAGTTCATATTCATAGTCGTACTGTAGCATTATGGAGCAAGGAACTATTAGGATGTATGACTCAGTTAATTTCTTTTGTTGGTGGACTGTGCTGGTGGGACGGACATTCCAAAAAACAGATTAAAGTTCTATTTATTACAGAACAGATTATTTATGATCATATAGAAGATCTCATACGAATTATTGATTACAGACCATTCCATAAAGAAATGAAATCTGTACGATCAAATGATGAGACGAGCATCATGGATGCAGCTTTGATGATTTTAATGCGTATGGTACAAACGGAAAATATTAGTTGGTTTTTTCGTTCAAATGTATCAATACAAAATGCGCTGTCAACTCTAGGCGAAGAAGCGCTATACGACGAGATTGGTTTAAGCGTATATGGTATATTAGGCAAAGTTTTGAGTGATGAACAACTTAAAAAATTGAAGATTGCAAATAATATGGGTGGGTTTTTCTTTAATATGCTTGAACAAGCTTGGCGTCATCCATTAAAAAAATACAGACAAATACGAATCGAACATTTATTGCAAGGTAACTATATTATTATATAGGCATAGATTGAGATTCTATAAATTAGATAGAAAGTCTTCTTATTTCGACAGTGAATGATCATTTCAATAGAAAATTAGTATAAAAAACAAATACTACATTTTGTAACCGATTAAAAGGTTTCATTCATCCTTTCATTGAAAATGTGATTTCAAATGAGTGAGAAATACAATCCACTGCAAAGATGTCGATGTTGTAACAGATTCTATTTTGCTCAATGCTATCAATTAATCAAACAGTCTATTTTTGTTTTTATCACTGTTCATAATGCAACTAAAATATATTTACAATGTTTTTTTTTCGATTATATTTCAGGGTACTTCAACTTATCGAAGCATGATTTTATCCAACAGAAAACAGCTAAAATGAACAAAATACCACTTTTTATTGAAATGTCTGATCAATATCCAATTGTATATGATACTATCTGGGGACTTTCATTTAACCTTGATATTCAACAACAACTTCGTTTTCATCCATCATTTATACATAAGCTATCTCAACTGGCTAATGAATCTGACGACGAACAAATGCGCAAAATAACTCATGGTATTCTTTGGAATCTTGAAATCACACATCAGGATAGATCAATACCACAAAGTAATAGTGAAAATACTTTCCATATTATGATTAGTTATTCACATAAAGAAAAAGTTCTGTGTAAACAGCTTTATGATGAACTAACTAAAAATGGTTATCGTGTTTGGATTGATTTTGATCAAATGCATGGAAATGTCATGGATGCAATGGCACAAGCTATTGATCGATCAGAAATTATTATTATTTGTATGAGTGAACAATATCGACAAAGTAATTTTTGTCGAGCCGAAGCACATTATGCATTTCAACGACAACGTCGAATAGTTCCAGTTCTTATGCAAAAACACTATAAACCAGATGGATGGTTATTATTTTTGATTGGTCAACTATTATATGTTGATTTTACTAAATATGAATTTGTAAGAGCCATGGAAATGTTATCCAAGGAACTTAAAGTTACAGATGTTACTAATATAAGTATATCAGCTATACCTGTTGCACAAGCAATAATAGTTAAAGATCCACCAACAAGAAATAAACTTTCATCAAATATACTCCAATGGACAGAATCAAATGTGCAAGATTGGTTGATTGAACATAATCTTCAACAAATGTCTCGACTTCTTGCAAATTGTGATGGACAAAGTTTAGTCTATTTGAACAAACACATGAAATATGGTGAACCGCAACAAACTTTAAAATCATTCTATGAAGATTGCATTCGTCATTTAGGTGAAAATTTATCATTAATTGAACTATCTCGTTTGCAATCATTAACTGATCAACAAAAAAGATTTGTTCGATCATCGTTGTGTACTCAAGGAAGAAAAAACAGACAGTAAAGATATTCTTAAGGATATTTTTTGTAAAACTAAAACAATTCCAATAAACGAAAAGTCGCATTTATGTTCACTTTTCTGAACTATTTGTTCAATAAAAATATATGTATTTGGCTTTGTTTTCAATACGTAAAGCTATGTTGCGGATGACAATGATGACGTATTTATTAAAGTAATAAAAGAATATGTTGTGGTCATTCGTCTTATATTGCCGACAGAATATCAAAACTACGAATAGAATGAGGGTGTAGGTGGGTGAATGTGAGTGTGGCTGTAGGCGGTAGCTTATTCATACCCACACCCAGTTACATTTTTATATTAAAGGATTTAATTAGTCTAATATCTGTCTTAGTTTGTCTTAAAATAAATTTTACCAATAATAAACGTAGGCAGTTAACAATACACACATCTTGAAACATTTCTTATTAAATTAATCGAAAAAGTATTCTAATATATCCTACCTAGCCATAAAATCTTAATTAACTACCATCATAAGATATGACTCAATATATAGGTACTCACTCAAATGATCATTCAATTTCTATTCAATTTTGTCGAACATTTTTCATAAGTTTTTGAATGAAATACTTTGAAAAATTCTAGACTAATGTGTCTGAAATCCATAAAATACTGTTATAATTATAATTGTATTTGTCAATGAAATGAAATAGAAGGGATAATTTCTTTCTTTAAATAGTAAATAAGAACTTAGAAATAAATCATTTTCGTTGAATTTTCGTACTAAATATATAATAAATTCATATATTTATGAAATAATAATATTTGATTTTGAAAATAAGCTTTGTATTCATAATAAATAGTATGTCTAGAAGAAAGACTGAGCTATTTATCATTAAAATCCTATTACTGGAATAGAAAGCAAACAATTTTTTAAAATTATAGCTGATCTAACAGATTCTCATCATTTATATTGAGATTTGAAGAATATAAGTGGAGACCTTTTCTTGTAAGATCAATATGATCTCTATCAACGTTCTAAAATGAAAATCTCTCTATATAGTTATATTGAATGCCTATTAAAAATTGCCAATGATGTTTACAAAATAATGATGAATATGAATTTTCTGAGAAAAGATTTCGTTTGAATAGATCATTATTTTAATAAAATCAAAATTACATAAAAAGAAGTCTATAAAATAGTATCATTGGAAGAAATATATAACTTTCTATTAGAAATGATTAATGTAAGATATTCAATTCATTACACGTATTTTATTTGATCGGATTTTGTTTTAACCAGTCAATAACTTCTTGTGCATGTTTATCAGTTGGAAATATTGGATAAAATACATGTTCAATCGTATCATTTTTTATGATTATTGTTAAGCGTTTAATTAATGGAATATTTTCTAATTCTGGTAAAGTAAAATAAGGTAAATGTAAATGATTTACTAATTTTAAATCAGAATCACTTAATATATCAAATGGTAAATGTAATCGTTCAACAACTTCTTGTTGATAGTCGGTTGTTTGTGTACTACATCCATAAACACTAGCACCTAATGATTGTAATTCTTGAAAATGATCACGAAATCCACATGATTCTGGTGTACAACCTCGAGCACCAGGAATTTCATTCCAACCATCAGGAAGTTTTTGATCTGGTTTGCTAGTTCGAGGATAGAAATATATTACAGTACGTGGGCAGCTAGTAATGTCTACGGAATGCTTGTTAGTCACAGGTAAACTAGTAAGAATATCAATTGGAAATTTCATGCCGACTTTCAAATGTGCACATTGACCATCATCTACTGGCACAGGCAGATTATCAGGCAAATCAAATCGATGCATTATAATCACAATATATATGTACTATTATTACGAATAGGTATGGTTTGTTTTTTGTTAAATTGTCTTTCTAGTATACTCTATTTGCAGTCGAAAATTATTACTTTAGATAGATAACTACCATTGCAACTGACAGAATCTTGTCCTCTATATACATTGTCTCACACTCTAGATAGTGCTAGTTGCTAAGATTTTATTACAAATTATATTTCAAAAATTGATTGTCAATTTATCTTACAATATAGATATTTGTGCTGTCAGTTAGACAGATGGTACATAGTCAGATCAAATGAAAGCTCTCAGCACCAAAATGCCAACGTTAAAATATTAGTAGTCATTCGATTTTTACAGTAGCCACGGTTTCATTATATAGCCGAAAAATTAGGATTAATAGCATCACCAAGGTGTGGCTATTGAGGATCGAGTTCATCATGTAAAGTTTGAGTCTCATTACTCAGAATTTTAAATACAAACGAATAAAACTGATTTCCAATATTTCAATTAAATCTTTATTTACTGAAGATGTATGAATAGTTTTAGAATGAAAGTAATATGTAGCATCATTCTGTTTCTCAATAAACGTATTCAATATTGAAAATTGTAATCATTCCTCTTCTATTACCATTTCTGGCTCGTATGTTTTGAATACAACAGTAAAAAACTTATAATTTCTTCATTGTACAAATAAAACAGATAAAATCCAAGAATACAAAGATAAGAACTATCACATTATTCTTTTCACCATCCATCTTCATCGAAAAAAAGACAGGTATAGTATGGGTTCAGGGAAGATATACATCCACCATCCCAAATATTACATCTATTTAATGATATCATAACTAGAAACCATTGATATTATTGAAGAAAATCTTTTAGAAATAATTTATTTTATTCAAACAAAAAAAATATTTGATGTATATTGTCAATAAAGTTTTATGTTCATTTTCAATTACTGTATAGTGCACAGACGTCATTGGTAGATAATTCTCGACTATAAACACGAAAATCATCAATATCTCCTTGAAATGGCATTGCAGTCACCTGGTTTCCAAAGCATGGTGACGCAGCACTTAAACCATTAGCTAAAGTAATATAATGAGGCGATCCATTTCCTAGATATGATCCAGCTGAGATAAGATTTGATGCAACAAGAACATTGTTGATATAGAGACGAATACCATTTGTTGAACTCCATGTTTCAACGAGACGTGACCAGATTGATGTTGCAACAGAATGTGTAGAATCAGTAACTGCGACGAAACCAGTTCCATTAAATATTTGTGCCTTAACTGTACCATTAATAGAAAAACCAAAATGTGGTGAGCAATATACATATCCTGTGGATGAGATAAGAACGATAATACCACGAAGAGAGATCGGTCGAATCCAGAGAGAAATAGAGAATGGTCTGTTGGATATTCCCAGTGCAGTAAAATCACTCATCTGAAAATAAGAAGAATTTGAACCAGTAAAAGAGATTGCTTGAAAAAATCGACCAGATGCAGTAGATGATGTTGAGTTTGATGTAGCTTGGAGAGAGTTTGGACCCGAATCATTAAGAAATAATCCATTATCGAAAGTAAAATAAGCGACTAATGTTGCTATTTCTAATATCTCACATGATGATTTGGCTCGATTTGAAACTGTCATTTGATCCATATAACCCTAGAATGTTCAAAAATAAAGAAATAATTATTACTAAAAAGTGTATTGAAGAATTGAATTAAAATCGAACCGATATCTGAGTTATTTTGTGTTAGATAGAAAGTCATTTACCTGAAAAGGGGAAGCACCACTAGCCGCCGTAAATAATGAAATATATCCAATGGTGGTATTATATGTTCCTCCAGTATATCCAGATGACACAATACAAGTGCTGTCTAATACTCCATTTAAATAAACTTTTTGTGTTAGTGCTGTTAAATCAAACACAAATGCTGCATGTATCCATGTATTCACTGTTAACGGTGTAGTACCTGTACAGTCATTCCCATAAAAACCTAGATATAAATAAAAGGCAGAATTAGATTGATGTATAATGCACATTAAACACTAGTAAGCAACGAATTGAGGATATATGCCAAATATAGGATAGTAGGTCACACTCGAAGTTAGTGTAGTGATATAAAGCCAGGTATCAATGGTAAAGCTAGAAGATTGAAGAGGAATGTAAGAAGTAGTAAGCGTTGGATTGCTACTGGTATTGAATATAAGTGCTTGATTAACATAACCACTTGTAGTAAATGACATAATATTATTAGTCGGTGTTGCATTATAATTATTCATTTGGTCAACAAAATTTCCATCGAATGGCCATTGAGATAGCCGATTAGATAATGAGTTCCATGTTTGGTTGGTACATGAAGAATTACAAGGTCGTCTGGTTGTTGTTGTTGCTATTGTGATAAACAAAATAATAATATAGAGTAGAGAAGATTTATTTGTTGGTTATACGTTACTTGATGTAGTGGTAGTAGTTGAGGTGGTGCTGACACTTGTTGATGAACTACTAGTAGTTGTGCTTGTTTTTGATATAGTGCTCGTAGTTGTGCTTGTTGTTGATGAACTGCTAGTAGTCGTACTTGTTGTTGATGTAGTGCTGGTGGTTGTACTTGTAGTTGATGAGCTGCTAGTGGTTGTGCTTGTAGTTGACGAACTGCCAGTGGTTGTGCTTGTAGTTGATGAACTACTAGTAGTTGTACTTGTAGTTGATATAGTGCTAGTAGTTGTGCTTGTTGTGGATGAACTACTAGTAGTTTCACTTGTAGTTGACGAACTAATTGTAGTTGTACTTATTGTTGATGAACTGCCAGTAGAACTATCGCTAACAGTCCACGTAGTGAGAGTAGTAGTAATCGTGTAGTTCATGGTGAGATTGTCTAAAAAGAAGAAATGGACAGCTCGTTAAAAGAATCACTTCATATGTAGACTTCATTTTATCTTTCAGTCATTAACGATGGAGCACCCTGGGATGTTCTCTTGTCAGTTCTATAACTAACTCTTCACTAACAGAATCCTTGAATATCAAGTAAAAGAAATCAACAATTATACTTACATCCACATTGATTGTTTAGTAGACATTTCAGATTGAGATCATTGCGACATTGATTATCAAATGTACATCCACCTCCAATTAATTTCTGGCTGCGACACATTGATCCATTGAAAAATGTATTAGGTTGGCATTGACAAGTAGAATTCATACATGTTAAATATCGACTACCATCACAAATCGAACAAGGGCCACCATAATCAGCAAAATTTTCCATAATGAGCTTTATTGATCCACAAACTGATTGAGAAGAAACAGATGAAACAACTTCACCTGTGCTATCAATATCACCTTGATAAAGACGACAATGTTTCATTTGAATATCATAATTAAATGTACGACATCGTGCAATCATTTCACACATTTGAGCACAGTTCAAAAGTGACCTGGCAGTAGTATCCAACAGAAGAAGAGCTTGTTCATCAGCAGGAGAAAACTCCAGACCAAGATTAGACACATCAAAAAATGATTGCCAAATATTTGTTGTTGTCTCTAATGTCTGTGATATAATCAAAATGAATAAAGTGAAAAGTAGATGACGATAAGAAGAAACCATCGTTATTTATATTCTGAAGAAACAAACAAAGAATAAAAAGTGAGTTGATTCAAATACATACAAGTATAATTTAGTTTAAATCAAAGAAATGGTTTACTTTTGTGTAGTGAGTATTGAAATCTTGTTTGCTTCGAAATAATATAATACTTGTGACAAATGATAGAGTGTAGAAGAAAAGAAATGAGAATGAATACTGATTGTATTAACGTGAATAAGAGAATTATTAGAATAGAAAAGAACAGATATAACTATGTCTAATGTTTGTTGTAATATGATAAAAAATGGTAGATTTTGATTGTAGGAATAATACAGCGTTTTGTTTAGTCTTCGAGTTCTCTCATATATTTAGGAAAAACGTCTTCATATTTAGTAATAAGAAGGAAAATGAAAGCAATTGTTATTTTCAAAATATATTTTAAAACCATTAAAATATGTGTTGCTCAAGCGTAGAACGACAGAAAGACGTAAGTTATGACGTTGCATTTGCTGAAAAGGTTTTAAATAATTAGTCCGTAAGAAAAAACAATTAACAAATAGTTTCTTCATATTTGTTTATTGTAAAAGTATTTCAGTAATATTGTTTAGCAACTCTGGCGAAAATAGTAATCATTTCGACTTTTTCGTAGAATATTTAGTGAAAATAAAAATGCATTTATCTTTACAAAAATAAACTGGAATTATTGTGCAGAAAAAAATGGTATATCAAAAGGAAAACTATAGAGAAATATTTTTACTGAGTTACTTATTTAATTGTTTATTCTTTGCTAGTCGAGTCATTCATATGATTAAAATAAATAATGATTTTAAGATAGAAAAGAAAAAAAATTTCATTTTCATATTATTAACTTTCCTAATGAAAGTATTGTTTTTTTTCAGTAGATATTAATGTAGACTCACCTGGAATATTATTCCTTAAATTGAGATAAAAGATCTTTTTTTTTCAAAACAATATTTCATATTGATGATAGGGAATATTATGAAATGCATGACAACTAAGAAGTTTTGTGTAAATCAATAACGATTGGAAAAAGTAGAAAGATATGTAAATAGTTCTCTCACGGATGTTAATAGTAACAACTTAAAATTGATTGTTTAACTTTTTGTTTGATAGACGATATTTTACATTTATATATCATCATGTTTGTCGTTATCACTGATTAATTTAATAGTTTTCTTCTTTGTTGACTATATTATGTTGTTCTAATTCATGTTTTATTATATTCTCATTCGTTTGAAATGATCATTGTTAGAAAAGATCTGTATATGTTTGTATTTTTTATGTTAAAATATCTAAGGTTGATGTGAATCTCAATTATTATTAATTTTGTCTGTCTTTTTTTAATATTTCAATATTAAAAAAAACTTGATGAAATATAATGGCACTAATAAAAAAATATGGTTATGAATATTTTATATATATTAGCTGAATATAGAGCAATTGGATAGAAATTCACACAAAATCCTTCATATTATGTGATGAATACTCGATTGCCTTACTGAAACTGCAGCACATATACTACTAATGAGTTCTGACATCAGCTACTAAATATAAAAGAAAAGAAAACGTTATTTGAGTTGCTCTGCTATCGTTAGAATATATTTTATCTGTGAACTTGATATGAATTGAATATTGTAATGAAGAATGATAAGTTATTCACAATTCAAATATGATTAAACTAATACATGGAGATAAAAGTATGAACATCGATGTGATATTTAATCTTTAGTTTTGGTTGAAATATATGCAAGAGATGAGAAGATGATTTCAAGAGTCTCCTTCTACATTTGGATATATATATATCTTCATATTTTTTTTACTTACTAAAAATAGTTCATTGATATTTCTCAGTTTCTGGAGCACGTGTCTAATACTTTTTATTATTTTTTTCTAACTAGAATACATTATGACTTCAAGCAACATAAGAACAACAAATAATATAATTTAGCAAATTCAATAACTCGACTATCGTACTAGTTAAAAACTCCACATGTTAAAATTTTTAGAACTTCTACAAATTGAGTGACTTCAATTTAATTTAAGGATAACTTTAGAATTGTAGAGAATATCTGAAAAATCATTATTGGCTAAGAAAAATAATGATGTTATGATTGTAGATTGATCGTGCCACATGAAACAAATTAGATACATGAGGTAGAATTATTTCTGTAGATTTTAATGAAGAAGTTGAAAAATTATTTGATTTCATCTATTTTATTTGTAGAATGATGAAATTATAAAATTTTCAGTGTTGTACTGAAAACATACAAATCATAAATGATATCAAAAGATTGGTAATTAGTGTTTTCAATATGGAACAATTTCAGGGAGAAAAAATGGATGTTGTATATTACTTTCACTCTAAAACTATAGTTAAAGTGGAATCAAAAATTTGAAATACTATTTGTTTTTTTATTATCTACATCAAAGACCATTTTGAAGGTGTGGGTGTGAGTTAAGAGAAGAGACAGTCACCCTCATTACTTGATTTACGTTAATTTATAATCTACATTCAGGTAAAACTTTTAGTTATTGTTGTTTTAAGATTTAATATTTTGATAAACTAGATTTCATTTGCAATTCTTACAATGATTGTTATCGATATATGTAAAAAAGCAAAATTAATTTATTATATTATGAGATTCTTGAAAACAAAAAAAGAGACTCGTCACCATGTAAATTTAAAATATAAGCAAAAAATAATAATAATAATTTAAAATAAAAATCACATAATATCATCACAAAAAATGTAGCATAAAACAATAAAAGCAGTACAATGTAATTTATCACAATTGAGATTATACGAATAAATACGGACGAATATTAAAATGGACTATTTTTTACTCAGATATTTCTGCATAACTTCTCCATGGTTGTTGATTCGAAGTAACATATATTCTCGTTTTATCATAACGACATTGAACAACACCTCGATAGGCCGTTCGAGGTACATTATCCTAGAATTTAAAAAAAAGACAGTATTTGGCGCAATGAAAATTTTATTTTATTTTTGTATTTTATATTTTTCGTTCTATGTCCTTAAGTAGTCACAATATCGTATCATCGTTTTATAATAAACAAATCATTTCTTTTCATTATAATACGAATAATAATGAAAAACAACCCGTTAAAACTAAATCATTCGATCAAACAATTAATCGTGCTGTAGAATATTTTCAAGAAATTCTTGCTCAATGTACTCCTACTTCATCAAACACATCACTTATACATAATATTGAACAAAAAAAACCTGAAAAGCCAAAACGTGACTGTGAAGATTTGTTACGATTATTAAATAAAAAACAAAATTTTAAAATGAAATCACGAGAACAAAATCGACAATTTATAAAAACAAATAATTTAATAGATGATAATAGCGATCGATATTACCCAAATAATCGAAATATTTATGGTTCTACATTCTATTGTCGAAAAGCTCTCTTGCAACGATCTTCTAATGGAATTACTTATATTTGTATACGAAAACGATTTAATTAAATTTTACCTTAAAATCATTCATTATTTGAAGTACATCTGCAATGGCAATAAATTCTTTTTTATTACTATAACGTAATCGTGCACATTTCAAATCAGTATCAAGCATATTTAAATCAGATACAGTTATCACAGAACAAGCATTAACACGAGAGTCAAATACTGGATCATATTGATCCTAGAAAAATAAAGTTGTTGTTTTTTAATGATAAAGAATAATCTTTTAATATACTTTGATAAGATAATTGAGATCAATAGATTTCCAATCAATGGGATCTGTATTTTTAATTATTTTTCTTAAATAACTATCATAAAATTGACCTCTATAAATATATATGTAATGAATGTTAGGAGAAATTATTTTAATCAGAATACATACCCACTCACACCTTTTTTACCTTCGGGAGATATACCTGTACGTGAAACTTCCGGTCGAATACATACTCGATCACGACGTTGTTCAGGTTTTCTCATCCAATCATCCCAAAAACTATTATATATGATTAAAAAAATATTCTTTCTTTCAATATTTTACTAACGCTGGTGGCCAATGATCTTTTATTTCATTCCAAACTGTTTTTGTTAATAACCAACCAAGACCCGGAAAAAAATCACTACGATGAAGAAGATCTTTGAAATAAACATCAATAAATATTTATTATGAATTATTTCTCTTTGTAACTCACCTGCTTGACGATTAATTTTTTGATCAATACCATTATCATTCCATGCAGATATACACCATATAGTTTTATCAACTTTTAATAACGGATAAACTGCTTGAAAATAATCAAGAAAATCAGGAGATACTTCTAAATCATCTTCTGTAATAATAATAGCATCATAATTAAATTCATTGAGAACACGATTCAATGAATAATTATAATGACGTGCTATTTTATAATATCCAGCTAAAAGTTGATTTTCCGGAGGAACAATAATTGGACCAAGATCTGGTAACTAAATAGAAATAAATTATCATTATTTGTTTTCATTTATAAAAATGAATATATACTTGAATGATTGTTTTAATTTTATTACTGAAATTTTTAGCAACTTGAAGTGTCGCTTGATCATTACAATCCAAACTGACAATAATTGGATTTAAATCCGGATTTTTTCGAATTCTGAATAAATAATATTGAATTATTTCATTTGAAAAATATATCTTCTCTATTTACTTAAGTAAAGCTTCTATATGAGTTTGAAGAGCACGTGGCCGATTACAAGCAAAAACAACAATTGGTAATAAAACATCGATTTTCTATAATCAAAAAAACAAACGTTTTTTACGGATAACGAAAATATGGATACTACTGAAGTATGAGAGATTTGTTTTTTCCAAGTAACTGGTTTGCCTACTGGTAGTATCTAAAGATAATCATTTAATAAATAAAAATAACTCAAATGAAATTTGTAACTAACTGATTCATCTTTATTTGTTGATGTATGAAAACTTTTGGTACTCAATAATAATAAAATATTGATGAGAAAGAAAATACCAGTTGTAATAATAATTCTCTTAACAATTGTTGGTCGCATATTTGTATATCTCCCATTATCCTTGATGTTTCATCATCTACAACAATATATTTAATTTCTTTAAAAATTTTATTGTTTATTATTTCTTTCCTCCTCCTCCGAGGTTTCCATGCCAAAGAACGAGAATGGCAATTCTTTTTTTCTTCCTCTTCATAATATTTATAGAAGTTTTTCAGTAGAAGAGAGCTAAGACAATACTTTTTAAATGAAATAAAACAAATTGAATTGAACGGCACAAATGCCTAGTTGTTTTTTATTAACCAATCAAAACAAAAAACAAAACACAGCGTAATTTAAACATTCATACGAACTTTCTTTTTACTTCTACCACCACTTTTTATTTTTCGTTCTTCACTATCATCAACAAGTGTTGGAACATCATCACCCTGATCTCCTTTTGAAGATTGTTTAGCAGCAGCTAGAAGACGTTTTCGTTTTTCAGCTCTTGGTGCTGGTTTACTTGCAAAATTTTCTTCTTTATGTTTTGGTTTGTCAGATTTCTTTGCAAGTCTTGTACTACTTATACGTTTAACAAATGCTGTATCAACTAATGGTTTACCATCAGTATTAAAATTTGGTGTATCATCATCTCGATTATTAATGTTCTTCTGTTTTTTCGATTGATGTTTGTCCGTTGATGATTTTTGTATACCTTTCGTCCAAATTTTTTGTAAACGTTTTGTTGGTTTTTTCTTTTTAAAATTATTATTTAATTTTGTTCTTTTTGTTAAATGAATATTACCATTTGGTTCAACAATAACATTAAGATTTTTATCAATTGTTGATAATTCACCTATATGTGTTAATTCATTTGGATCATTCGATGGTAAATTTAATTTTTTAACATCATTTTTATTATGTGTACTATAATAAATTGGTAATGATTGTAAATTATTACCATAGAGATATGCATGACCAATATTTAACCAACTACCTGGTAATTCTTGACCGATAGTTTCACATATTGATTTAAGATTTTCTATTCCATGATCAATTGATTGTTGAACAGTTGTAAATTGCATAGAAAATAATGGGCCAGTACCAGCCATACGACCAAATATTGATGAACATAATGATGTTAAACGTTGTTTAAAATCTTTATTAAAAACATTGATACCTAATGGCATTTTTCCATGATGACGAAAATGTTTGCCTAATAATTGACCACGCATTAATGATGTCATTATACGTCGATCTGCAAGAAATAGATCATAACGTGCACATAATTTTCGTTTAGCTTCATATGGAACTAATTCCTAAAAACAAAAAGTTTTTTTGTTCGATTAATTTTAAAAAAAATTTTTTTACTTGATTCAATTGTTTAAGTGTCATAATATCAATATTAAATGGAAGTTTAAATTGATCGATCATTGATTTAAAACGACGAATTGTTGATTCAAAATCTCTACCACTAATATCATCATCCCGAACAAAAAGACATACATCACGTGTATCTTGTTGAATAAATGGATGAGGTAATTGTGATGCAAGACGAAGATACGTACATCGAGGTATTTTATGTACGTGAAGATAGAGACTGATCGGTATTGATTCATCTAACAATTTTTTATGACCTTGTTGAGCATTTGTAATAATTTGTTTAAGTGCAACTAATGCTTTTCGACATAGTTGAAAATCGAATGGACATTCGGATAAATTTTTATTTTCTTTTTGAACTGTTTCAGTTTTTGTTTCAATTGATTTCTTTCCCATCTTAAATTATATCTAAATAAATAAGAAATAAATCGATGTATTTTGATAATTTAAAAATAATTTATGTCGGTTGTATGATCAAATCAAAATGAAAACGAAGAATTTGGACGGTTGGTTGTTATTACCAATGTAAAGAAATCTTCGTTGTCCTTCATAGAAAAGAAAATATATATTGATAAACAGCGACATCTAACATAATTTTTGTTGTTAAAATTAAATGTATTTTTTTATAAATCTTGAATATTATTTTTCTTGTTAGAGATTCTACGAAAGGTAATAGACAGCAGATATTTTTTAATAATTGATTATGAATAATTTTTAGTTAAATTTTGATAATAAAACGTAAAAAATTTCTATAGAAAAAAGAATGACATGCTGAAGTGTTAATATGTAGTTTGAATAAACATATTATGTCTACTAACATAAGGTTCTTCTATTCATTCTTTATTGAAAAAAAAAACTTCATATTCCCACTTGAAATTTGAGTAATTATGAAAATGAATATATAGTTGTCGTAAGAATAGAAGAATCATCAAATTTCAATTTTCCACATTTTAATAATCATATCGATTAAACAAAAATCATTACCACCTGCCAATTGACTCACAATCATCAACAATGATTGTACTTGTTCAAATGATAGTGATAGTGATAGTAGAATAATCATATTCACTTTCTCCCTCTCTCGCTCGCTCGTTTTGTCAGTTACATCTCTATCTATTTATCTCAAATTGATTGTTTATAAAATGAGCTTAGCAGATACTAATTTCAATCTCAAGAGAACGATCATCATCATCATCATTGAGTTTCAAAAAATGATATAAATGAAAGACAAACTTTTTATTATATACAAAATAATTAAATAAAAGAAAGAATTTTTATCTTATCATATTAATGAAATTTAATAATAATTAAATAATATATAATACATATGCTTTCAATTATGATATATAATTGATGAAAATGATCGAAGAAATCATTAAAATATATCAATGTCTATATATGATTACGTCTACATATCCATCGTTCTGTCTCTCTGTCTGCAATGTTGATTAGGGACAGAGAATATACATATACACACAAGTGTTGTTGTTGTTATATGTACTATATATAATAAAATCTCGATAATGAAGCAATTATGGTCAATTCTTTTTTTTCTGACTTTTGCTCTTTTTTTCTCTTGCACTCGTATGGATAATTCATGTATTAATCGGGCAGACACGATAGTTAAGATTTCTTTTTTCTCTTTCGCATATAGTTTTCTTTTATTCCCAATCCGTATCGGATTGGCCTTATCCTTGTAGTATATATATATATATATATATGTTATCAGAAACACGCACTAGCATACAGGGTGGAGAAGAAAGACGAATGATATCTACTAGTATATCAAGCAAAGCTAATGTCGATCATCACACATATACTTAATAAACTTTTTCTTGATCATCTTGCTCACAGGAAGACAAAAGATAATACTGTCAGAGAACAAATTCGATTACTTGATTGCAAATATACTAGTCAATATTATCGAAAGAGAATGGCATTTGAATGATGTGTATAATACCAACATAGTGTTATTCGACATACTCTTGAATGTTAATCGGTGTCGCCGCTGTTTTCACAAATTCCTGTCAAACATGACACTCGTCATCAGTTTTTTTTTTTGTCTATATTTCTTTATCTTCGTCATATACGACCAATGAAGTAACTGTATAGAAAAGAAAAAATTGAAGAACAACAAAAGAGAGAAAAAAAAAACGAAGAGAAAAAGTACAGACGTAAACAAAATGACGACAGAGAATATTTATATGTATTTATATATATATATATATCAGTTTTATCTAATATATGTCAAGTAAATTTTCGAGCATTAGCATACAGTGATGCAGCATAAAGTGGTGATATGAGTGGATAAGCATTTTGTGCTGAAGAATTTGATGATGAAGATCCTCCCATTTGTTGTTGCTGTTGTTGTTGAGAATTATAGAATGAAGCAGCACAGGCAACATAAGCTGCTGCAGCAGCTGAATGAATTCCTACAGATGATGAGTTTGCATTTGTTGGTATTGTTGGAGAATTAACGTCAAGACCAGGATTTTGTTTTTTCCATTTTGTTCGACGATTTTGAAACCTGTATTAGGAAAAAGCAATAAATAAATATCATTTCTGTTTATAAATTAACAAATAGTATACCAAATTTTAACTTGTGTTTCTGTAAGTGATAATGATAATGCAAGATTAAGTCGTTCACAAACTGATAAATATCTTGTTTGTTTAAATTTATTTTCTAATGCAACCAATTGTTCATAAGTAAATGCTGTTCGTGCTCGACGTGGTTTTGATGGTTTATCAGTTGTTGATGAACTTGTTGATGAAGATTTCGATTTATCACCATCACTGATTGAGGCATTTAAATCATCATCATGTGTCTTATCACCCGTTTCTGATAGACAACCATCTAAAATTTAAAAAGAAAAAAAATATATATAAGAAATTAATGTTCAATAGAAATAATAATTTTATTTACCAGATACATCACAATCACTGATTGAGCCATGATGTTCATCATCATCTTCATCATCGTCATCATCATTGTCTGAATGTGAATAAACAGATTTTTTATTTGATTTTAAATTATGATGATCTTTCAAATGATTTGTTTTTTGTTCAAGAATTATTTTTGTATAATCATTAAATCGATGAGCTTTAGGTTTCTTAATTAAATGATTAAGACGAGTATTATTATTACTGTCAACTGATGATGATGTAGGTTTGGCAAGAATATCACAGATGTTAAATGTTCGTCGAGTAGAAGATGATGAAGAATTAAATGATGATTTAATTGGTGAAATAAATGATGAAGGTGATGAATTTGTTGAAATCGGTGAAGAATTAATATTGCTTGGAGAAAGAATACGATTGGTCAATGAACCAAATTTAGTTAAAGTTATTTGTGGTGTTGGTGAAGATGATGTTGGTAAAGATGGAGATGAGGATGGAGTCGTTTTCAATTGGTCGTCATTGCCAGTTGAAGGCACCATCGTTTCCAATTTGTCATCACTCATCAGAAAAGATTCTGATCTGGAAAGTATATTATATAGATATATATATATGTATGTGTATATATATGCCTTGAGTAGGTATTATTCTATTGATTATCAAATGTCTTCTCTCGTTTTACTGCAATAAATATCTCTAGTATTTTTTTTATCTTGCACGATCACGCACTGTCGATGATTGCTGTTAATGACTGTGTGTGCATGAATTTTTCTCTCTTATTCTCTCTTTTCCCTCATGTAAATACGATACATACATATATATAAAGAGAGTGAATAAGACCGAACAAGAGAAAGCGAGAAGGAGAGAGAGAGAGGGAGAGAAAATCTCAACACCCATAAACGAAGAGACACATCGGAGCGATTATACATCTATACACTAGCAAATTATGATTATGATACCCGTGTGTGTGTAAGCGAGCATCGACAACGAACGAACGAACGAGTAAGCGAGAGAGTCCTTTTTTCCCATTCGCCGAAACACATGCACTAATAGCAGCAATTCTCTCGGCAATTTAGCAGACCATTTATATGCGTCCCGAATAGAGAGAAAGAGAAAAAAAGCTAAGAAGGAAAAGAAATTGATTGAGCTCGTCGATGCCATACATATGTGGATGTTAAATTTGCAACAGTGTATGTCAATAAAAAAAAGACATGGAGAAAAAGAGAGAAAAAGAATGACGAATGCGTTCGATCGTTAAATTAATTGAGTGCCAATGAGAGGAGAAGAATAATAACAACACTATTCAACCATTAAAAAACAGACGTTTTTCATTTTGATTTATTTTGAAAAAAAATAAAACAAAACAAGGTGGTGTATCATTTCGATATTATTTTATCTTAAAAGAAACACTAGTTAACCTTTGAAAGATTATTTTCTCATTTATTTCTAAATCACTTTCATAATCTTAAACAAGTTGATTTCGTTTTATTTACATATGTATGTATCTTTGAATAATTATGATCATCTTCTTTTTTCTAAATAATAATTTATTATAAATAAAAAAACATAAAGATTAGTTCGTGTTAAAATTTATATGAAATGAAAAGCTTGAATTAATTAGAATTAATTCATTACTTTATACGTCTTTAAAAGACTTATTCTTTTCAATGAATATAATGTCTTTGAAAATTGATATCATCCATTTTCAAGAATGTCTATAAATAGTGTCCAAAGAACTATTTCGACACATTAACAAGAACGCCATAAGTATGCCAAAAAGGATAAAGATGAAAAGAAACAACAACGATGAAGACATAAAGAGAAGAAGAAAAAGAGAATATATATATATCTAACTACTGACAACAAATCATTGTCATCATCAAACTAACTAACCAATCTAAGATTTATCTCATCTATCAAGCAACCACCACTAACATTTGATAACATTATCCAAAATGACATATATAGATAGAAATTCTATTGCATCATTTATATATATAATTTCTTTTTTCTTGAGACATATACGTGTTCATGTGGAAAAGTGTAGGTGATTAGCATATAAAACAATTGAATCTATAGGCAGCTCATCATCGTTAGTCTTAAACAGGCTGTTGACTGATTTAATCAATTAGTTTCTTACTGACATTGTATATATGCGCATGATGACGCAAATGTCTTGTGCACACATACATCCGAAACGGAACATTCTCGTTTGTTGAGTGGAAAGCAAAAGGGAAAATGAACGTGATGTGTATCTTTTCTTTTTATTTCAATTAATATGCTGATTAGCAATGAATAAAAATCTAGAAATCAATTTTAAAAATAACACTTGACATTGTTATATGCTCTTTCTTTCATTTTCTTTTGTTCGATTAAACTCGAGTTTGTCTAATATATATATTAAGAGAGAGAGAGAGAGAGAGTGAAAGATAGATTTGACAAGTATACAATAGGAACTTGTCGAAAAAAACAAATACTAATACTCAATTATACGAGAGAAGAATATTTCAAAAATAATTTTCTTATGTTGTTATAAGAGTCGGTAAAAAAAATCTCATTACGCATCTTAGAAGTAAATGAATTCCAGTCAATGTTGTATGTCATCTATATTCACATTAAAAATTGACGATCATTTGTTGACATGCTTACGGTTATTAGTTCAGTAGACAAATACATATAAAGAAGAAACAAAAGTGAATTGATTTTCACACCCGATCAGAGAAATGAAACCTTTTCTCTTCTTACTTCTTGTTACATTTAAATACATAATGCACAAGAGAAAGATCAAATCTCGTTTAATAACAACAATTTAAATTTTTAATCAATTATTAGAATAATGAAAAAAAACAAGTTGATCAACTTTGAAACATACTCGTTCTTTTTCTTACTCGTCAATGCCTATGCGGAAATAATTGATTGTCATATTTTCGTATTCAAGAGAAAATTTGTTTTTTGCATAAAAGATTTTCTTGTCTATCGATAATGACTTTTTTTTCTTCTTGCTCTATTCTATTCAACGGTAGTTCTATTCTCATCATCTTGTCTAGTTATCCTGAGGGAAAATAGGTAGGCGAACTCAAATGTATGCATGTGCATATCGATGTCAATCTGGCTGCCAATGGTGTAATTGATTAATCATTCCGGTTATTAGGCTTCTTCATCATCTTACTATCCTTATTGATGAAACCTACTTTTGAAATACGACTCTCATATATATATATATATAAGTATATAAATGCGCACACACATATATATATACACACACAATAATTTTGACTTTGATTGATTGAATAAAGAAGAATATGAGTAGCAATTCTAAATCTCATTTACATGGAGCGTACTATGCCGCTTATTGACGCCTTTATATAAAACGATTCTTATCGAGTAAAGTCGGCGGCAGTTAAGGCGGCGCGTGCACACGATATAGGGAACAGATTTGTGTCAATTGCCCGGCGTGCACACATATATATACATATATAAATGTATATAAAGGCCACATATATATATATATAAAGATTCATTTCGTTTGAACATTCATTCGATTATTTCCATCCATATGTAAATATTGACTCTTTCGATTTCTATGCACTTGCTGATGATGATTCTTCTCTCGTCAATCGTATCATGTTTCTTAATGATCACCAGCAGCACGCGCTTCTTTCATTCAATTAAGACAAACCACAGTATGTGTTCTTTTGTCGTTGATAAGTTTGAAACTTGTCGGAAGAACGAGAGAGAGAATGAGAGAGAGAGAGAAAGTGTGTGTGTGAGTGAGAACGGCACTTGTTCTTATCACTATACACCCTCACCGCCTGGTCGTGATTTGCTACATATGTGCTGTTGTATTCTCTCGGTTTTTTTTAATGAGAACAATGAGAACGCGTTGAAGATCAATATTATTTTCCCTCTGTATGTGTCTGCTTATGATCTCTTGCTCATTGCTAAAATATTCTGTTGATTTGTCGCACACTTGTACATTTATACATTTGTTTGAACTCATACGTTATTTAGATCTTGTTATAATTAATAAAGAAAAAAAGAAGTGAGAGAAGAAGAAGAAAAAAACGAAACTTGATTAAGATGCATGGAATTTATATCAAAGTCAAGTCATTATTTAATAGAACTTGAATTGGTAGTATTCAATAACTTTATTCATTTAGGATGAAATGTGATTACAAATTCAATCTTCTTTTTTTCTTCTTCTTCTTTTTGTCCTAATTATCACGCACATAAAACAGGTGAACAAGATTTTTCTTTTCTTCCCTTATGGCTATTTATTGTGTGCGAAAGACGATGTTGATGATGATGATGGTACATTAATAGTACTAATGATTAAAATTTTGTTATAGTGTACGAAGAAAATAAATCAACAAAAAAGAAAAGACGGCCTTCTTGATGAATATATCTCCTCATTTCCTCTATCATCAAATCCTTTTGTAAATTATTCACACCTTTAAATTTCTCTTATCTTTAAAAGAAAAAAACAAAACAACTAACAAGTGACTAGATCCTTACGTACACAGTTTGATTGGATGCCTTTAAGCTATGGCATATGATCTAAATTCAATGTGACATTGTCAATCTGTTATCCATTATTTCTAATTGGCAAGTGCGTATAGAGAATACATTTATTCACTTGTTCGATCGTTTTCCAACTAGACTATTTCCTTTTTTTCCTATTGGTTGGAAAATAATAACACTACCACTCAAGTGCTCTATGTAATAATGGTTATTGATAGGCAGACATTAGTGCAAATTGTTCTGTTATTGGACATCGATCATAACGATGACGGCGTACATACATATATATGTCTCTCAAGAGAAAAATGTTAACTTATCCATGATAGGTTTTTTTTCTTTACTATTTCCCTATGATATCCAACTAACTAGAAGAATAAGATCGATGATGTGCAAGTATACTAGTCAAGAGAAATCATACAAACGATTTTATATCAGCAAAAGAAAAAGAAAAAAGAGATACTTATCATGTTCTCGCTTTATGCGACGACGGGAGTCAATATATCATCGTTATATACTTGGAATAGATATTTACTTGTCGAACTATATATATATATATGTATGTCTACATATCTATGGAATTCTAATGACGACAAGTGTTTTGTTGATTAATAATTCTTATAAATGAGTGTATTTCCTTCTTTCTTTTTTTGTTAAGATAAAAGTGATAAAGAAAGTTCATATGTTAACATACAATGATTTCTATTCATTGATAGAAATATAATGATTACGTATTAGTACAATTTCTAAGAACTTTTTCTTTAATTATTACATTTCTAGTCTCGCTTTAATGATGATAATTGTTACGCAAAACTATTTATCATATATATTACATAAGATGGATGAAAAAGTGAATCAAAGGCTTATAAGTAGTGAAATAATAAATTGATGCATAACTTCCAGTACACATCTTGAACTGAAGTGATTTAAAGAAACATGATCATAATTATCAATAGAATTTCATTTAGAAAAATCACATATTTTTATTTATCAATTATATATAAAAAAATTACAAAAAAAACAAAATAATATATAATCATAATGTAGCTTCAAGTTCACTTTCTGTTTCTTCTTGGTGCGTTTCTTTGTCCATAGCTTCGGAATTACTTGATAATACTTTGTAATGAATTGGCTCTTGTAATGGATTAGTACCTTTTTGCATACGTAACATATTATTTTCATGTTTTAATCTTTCAATTTCATCGAAAGCAACTTTTAAATGAGTTTTTGTTGCTTCATAACCTGTTTTTAATTCTTCCATTTTTTGTGAATCATTTTTCTGATTTTTCTTTGCTATTATTGGCGGTGGAGTTTTCGATGAACGATGAATATTACGATTATTGTTTGGAAATATTAGTGCTGCAAATGAATCCATACCATCACGACCATTATTTTCTAATTGTAATGTATTATGTCGTTGCATGACTCGAGTTGGTTTTGTTGATGGTTCCATATTCGATACTGAATGAGCTCGACTTAATTTTGAATGACATTCAGCTTTTATTGCCTAAGGAAAATCAAGATATACTAGCATGAACTATAAATAATCAACTATATAGTATGAAAATAAAAAAAAGTAACTATATGTTGATATTTGCTGGATTGTCGAATTCTATAATAGTCACTTTTCGATATAAATAATTTACCTGTTCGGAACAATCTTTTAAACGACAAAGATGAATTGCCTTCTCACATTGCACTATTTGAGCTTGAATACTTGATATTAGACTATCATCACGTAAAGTATTCTGTATTGTCTGGAAATATTCTATGAACAAACAAAATATATTCTCTTGAGATAACGAAAATCCTTAACAAACCAATAGCACGTAAATAATATTCAATAGCAGCTGTCCATTTATGTCCTGATACTTGAATATCACCTAAACGTATTTGTTGATGTGCCTATTTGAATCAAAAATTAAATACGGATTAGATCAATATCATATAACATACATCTGGAAGTGATGGGATCTTTTCAAATTCCATTGAATTAAATAATCTACAGATTTTTCATAGAGTTGTTTTTTTTATAAAAAGAAGTTTTAATCTCGTATTTCATTTTGTTTTTTATAAATATGAGCATACGTGTGTATTGTGCAAAAAAAAGAGAGAAACAGAAAGAAAACGAAAAGTGTATTCCGTAAGAATAAAACTTTTCCGAAATGAGAAAAGTAGAATTAATGAATAACACGAGTTGAAACATTGTCACACACACGCACACACGAAAATGACATCGACAACAAATAAAGACAGAAGCAGCAATAGTGTTGTCAAAATACGAAAGACGTTTCCTTGGAACAACAAGAAGAAACAAAGAAAAAACGAAGAAAAGTTTATGTATTGCCAAAAGATAATCGTTGTTTTATTTCAATTGTTATAACACATAGAAAAAGATAACTTTTTTTTTTGCTTTGCATGCCCTCAGATTGTACTGTTGATAGAAAGTTATTGTCATCATATATGCTCTATATATGTATAGATATGTTTTATGCGCGCAAAGGAATTTATTTATGAATGACTCGAAAAGAAGAAACAACAAAATCGCAAAAACGAAGAGGCAAAGAATGAGAGATTGAGATGATGAAACAATGTACATACGATATAATATATTAATGAGGTTCGACAAGCGAGAAAAAAGAAATGAAAACTAGACGAAGTGAATACATCACAGATGAACACTCGATCGTTTTGAAATGGCGGTTTTCATGAGCGATGCCGATATGAGCTTTGAACCATGATCTTTTGTTAATGCTATTTCATTTAAATCAAGTACTGATTGTAATGGTCCTAATGTATATATAGAAGGTGGATAACAAGAAAAGAATTTATGCATCATTGCATCATGTGCAGATATTCGAGCATGTGGGTTATAACGTAAAAATCTTTCTAATAAATCAATTCCAACTTGATCAAGACGTGGAGCTAAATGATGTAATGATTCACCATGATAATGAGGCAATCTTAATGCTTGAAAATCGGGATTTGTTGTTACACCGGGTAGTGTTTGTTCTGTTGGTGTACCAAGACATTTAAATATTAAATATAATTCTTCATCAACTTTTGTACCAGCAAATAATGGTCGACCACATGCCATTTCATAAAAAATACAACCAACAGCCCATACATCAATTGGCGTCGAATATTCAGTACTACCAAGTAAAACATCTGGTGGTCGATACCATAATGTAACAACTTCATGTGAATATGTTTTAGTTGGAAATGATTTGATACGTGCTAGACCAAAATCAGCTAATTTTAATTCACCGCGTTCATTAATTAATAAATTTTGTGGTCTAAACGAAAAACAATAATCAATATAAAAAATTAACAATAATTATTTAGTTTACTTAAGATCACGATGAAGAATTTTTTTCGAATGGCAATAATCTAAACCACGTAAAAGTTGAAATAAAAACAGACGAACATTCTTTATATTAAGTATATTTGCACAATCATCCATATATTGTTTTAAATCTTTTTCAACATATTCAAATACAAGTGTTAATGTCGTTTGATTAAATATAATGTCATGTAAACTAACAATATTAGTATGCTTAAGACCTTTTAATAAGCTCACTTCACGTAATGCCGTACATGGTGCACCTAAAAGAAAACAAATCATTTAATAAATATCATTGATCTTCATATGAAATGTTACATATATATATTATTGATAAGATATGCAAGACAACAAAAAAAGTAGCTTGTATTTTTTTAGAAATATTTTTATTTCTAAATTCTTTAGTTGCATAAAGCGGAATTACTCGTTGTTAAATATAGCTTAGTATGAGTAATTTAGTTCGCTTATAGAACTCCCTTAAATATAGATCTGTGTTAACAGTTCTTCCGTTGAGATCCATCTAATTACAGAAATATATAGAAAAATCCAGGGTAAATTGTCCTCAAATTATTATGACTACATGCGATAGAATATGTCAAAAAAAAAGTCAGTCATATATTATAAGATTCTTGAAAGATCTTATCATGAAATAAGATCTACTACAAGTCATATTTTCTAATATGATTTCAAGTAGAATTTTTATAATTATAATTATGTTCGATTTTTTCATCTGTGTTAAAACATACAATTTTCATATTAACAAAAATATAGATTATAATATTCTAGACTTTACCTATGTCTCAATAGAATTAATTTAATAAGCAAAATCGATTTATCATCTCAAATAAATTCTCTCGTGAGACAAAAATCAACAAGAAAATCTATTCCCTAATGGATTTTGATTAATTATCATACCTTCTTCTTGTTCAAGTCGAATTTCTTTTAATGCAATATAACCATTTAATAAATGAGATTTTCCTTTATAGACTGTCGCATAAGTACCTATGAAATGAAATTTTTATAATAAATTAATATTTCTTATAAATATTTACCTTCGCCTAATTTTTCTAATTTAACATAAGATTCAATTTTTCCAAAACCAAGATCAAGCATAGATAGACGTTGTTCATTACGACTTAATTGTCCATTTATACTTGTATTTAATTGTGACGGTGAAAGACGTAATAAAGATGAATTAGATTGATGTAGAATATTATTAAGTGCTTGTGTTGATAAAGAATTTGTTTGATAATACGATGAACGTTGTGGGTGTTGTTGTAGTTGTTTACTTAATTTTAATTTATTTATTACATCTACACCTGGTGCTTGATTATTATTATTATTGTTATGATTATTATTATTTGACGATGAACTTAGTTTTGTAAATGAAAAACTTTGTTTTAATTCTGGTGGTAATGATATACGTGATTTAAGATCACGTAAGGTTTTTCTCTTTTTTGAACTATGTTCACGCAATTTAACTTTTGTTGTTTGCTGAGTGGAATATTCAACATTAGGTGTTGGAATTTGTTTTGTTGAATTATCAAATGTTAATGACATTGTTGGTGGAATAGCAGTTCGATCTTAATAGAAAAATAAATAAATAAAACAATAAAAAGAAGAGATTAATATCTACCTTTGCTATTTGTTGACGAAGATGATAAATCAACCTCATTAATCGCTGATGTTGATAGATGATGATCATTTTTTTGAGCATTTGATAAACTATGAACATCACCATGTAGACTAATTGAATTTGTCAAATAATGTTTATTAGTCGTATTATTAGCAAGAACAGATAATGCTGTGCCTATATTAGATGTGACTGAGGATGATGATTGGGACGGTTTTATAGGATCATCTCGCTGTTGATATTGATTACTATTTATAATAAGATTTCGATTCTTATTCGACGTTGATGAAATACCCGATGGAGATGATGTATGAGCTGAGATAAATGATGATGATGAAGACAAACCTATAATTATAGTTATTTATGTACATGAGAAAAAAATAGAAATATTTATTTTTTTATGGATCTCTTACTAAGACTAGGTGCAATTCTCTGTGTTTGTTGGTGTGTTAACACTCCACTATCTGATCGAGTAGTATTATCATAATAATAATCATCATCATCAATATTAGTCGTTCTTAATCGATTTATTTGTTTTGTTGGTAAAGGATTTTCTTCTTCAGATATTGGTACTAATGCATGACCACTTCCATTACACATAATACTCGTATTTGAACGTGTTATAAATGATGAATCAGTATCATCCATTTGTTTTGAATGTAAACGTTGATAAATAAGATCAGCCGTTAGTTTATTTTGTTGTTGCTGCTGTTGTTGTTGTTGTTGTTGATCATTATTAGTAGATGTATGATTTGATGCAATCGTTGATAAATCTGTACTCGTACTATGACTACGTTTAAGAAATTGAGAAAGATTACGAAACGATGTTCGACGTTTTTTCTGTTTAATTTCTATTTTTATTGGCTGATTGATTGTTTCATTATTTATATTTGTTGTTGTTGTTGAGGGATAAAATTTTTTCGTTAATAAAGATTTTATTGATTGACGATTAGAAGGATTTTGTTCGGATTTTGTCTTTATTGGTTCATCAAATGTTAAACCTTTTATATTATCATAACTCATATCACGTTGAATTGATGATTTATAAAACGAATTTTTTTGTGTCGATATATTTGTCTAAATATAAGAATAAAGATAAGATTCATAGATAAATTAATAGCTTTTAAATACTTGGTTTTCGTTTGATATATATTCATTTGATGGATGAAAATCTGTCGATGCTGAACGTACCATAAATGAAGAAATATCTCCACTTAATGGTCGAGCAGACATATGATGTTTTGGTTGTTGTTGTTGCTGCTGCTGTTGTTGTTCCGATAAAGATAGATTTTGTTGTGAAAGATGTTGAACTGGTCGCATATGTTGAACATAAGATAATGGTGGATGTTTATGATTTGAAGATGAATGACCATTATATGGTGGAACTTGTGTTAATTGATTTGTTGTTAATTCTTCAAATTTTTGTTCAAGATTAGTAGCTGTACCATTGGCTGTTGTAAATGAACCCATTGATGATGTACTTCGAGGTATTGTAAATTTTTTAAATGTTTTAGTTATTGTCGAAGTAACTTCCATTTTTGAGCACGTGCGTTCTTTTATAAAAAGAAACAAGAAATACGCATATAGATAGTTAAGAAATTGTTTTACTTACTCACACACTTGACATATATGAAAATATATATGAAGTTGATTATGTACACATAATGAATATTGTTGCTATGAATCTGCTATAGTTCAACATTATGTTAAACAAAGAATAGAAAGAAGAAAAAGAATGAAGAAACAAAAAAAGAAAATAAAATCTAAAATTAGTCAAAAATACTTGAGGAAAAACAAAAAGAAAGAAAGAAAGAAAGACTATTTGTAAATTAAAACTATTATAACTCTATATTTATCATTATTCACACATTTATCGTAGGTGTTTCGATATTTTTATACCCCTGTATAAATATGAATAAAGAATATAGAAGATCTAAAATCTTCTTCTTCATTCTGTTCTTTTTCTTTCTTCATTTTATTCAAATTTGAACTCGTTATTATGTCTCTTGTTAACCTTGATTGTATACAATTCAACTAAAACCCAATTTTCTTTCTAATATATAGATATATATTGTGTCGTGTCTATCTATAATAACATCGAACACACGACACTTATCGCTAGAAATAAGCATGCCTTTTTTTTTTTGTATGTATATGCTTTACACGCGTAAGCGTCGTATGTCTCAGCTTATACTACTCGAGAAGTAAGAAGTAGAGGCGAGAAAACGGTATATTGTTGCGCGAGCGAACGCTAAGGTACGCGACGAATAAAAGCATACGACAATAAGAACGCGCAGAAATAAGAGAGGGCAAATGGAACCTTCTATTATTTTTCTTCTACGTCATCTTCTTCCCTATGCGTGTGCGTGTGTTAGCCGTTGGCTTGCTTACACATTCTGTCAATCATACAATAACAACAGTAACAATTGTAAAAAAAAAGATTCAACAAAATTATATAAATAATCTTCTTCAATGTTTTTTTT